ACAGACGTGAGCCACCGTGCCTGGCCTAGAAGTTTTTAATGTATTTGGGGTACTTATCCTTCATTTGTTGTCTGTGTAACAAATAACTTGTCGTGTGGATTGTCTTCAGCTTTTCACTAAACAAGGTTTTCTGTGTTTTTTATTGTAAAGATTTTAAAATTTTAATGAAGTTTTTTTTCTCATTCAAACCATTGAGAATAAACTGGAGTTGAATTTTTTATGGTTTTTAATTTATACATCTTGTTTAACAACCTACTATGTTTGAACATACTAAGAGAAACATTAGACATCTGAAGAGTTTTGGGGACAATTAATGATAAATAGAACACTATCCAAATAAAATAATCTAAACAACTTGTAACTCCATAAACAAAGGATGTGTGGAAGAAAAATCTGATTTGAGAATATTACTCAGCAGTTAAGTATTGACAAAGTCATAGTAACTATTGACTATTAATCTTATTGAAGTTATGGACTGTTATCTGACTTGAAAATGTTTTTTCCCACCTGCAACTGTCTTGATCGAGTTTAGAAAAGAAATTAAAAATTTTTTTAATGCAAAAGAAAAGAAATTATGATTACCCACTCTGTGATTAGGATAGGACAACTGGCTTAGTTCCTGGATGGTGATAGTGGTAGAGGGGATGGAGATTACATTAGTTTCCTGTGTAACAATTAACCACTACCTCAGTGGCTTAAAACAACACATATTATCTCACATTTTCAATGGGCATGGCTCTGCCCAGAGTCTCTCAAGGCTATAATTAAGATGTCAAGGCCAGGCGTGGTGGCTTGTGCCTGTAATCCCAGCACTTTGGGAGGCTGAGGAAGGCGGATCACCTGAGGTCCGGAGTTTGAGACCAGCCTGACCAACATGGAGAAAACTTGCCTCTTGTCTCTACTAAAAATACAAAATTAGCTGGGTGTGGTGGTACATGCCTGTACCAACTAGTCAGTTAGCTGAAGCAGGAGAATCGCTTGAACCTGGGAGGCCAAGGTTGCGCCATTGCACTCCAGCCTAGGCAACAAGAGGGAAAAACATGTCAGCCAGCGCTGTAGCCTCATCTGAGGCTTGACTGGAGAGGGATCCATTTTTGTTGGCAGCAGAATTTAGTTCCTTACATTTGTAGGACTGAGGGCTTCAGTTTCTTGCTGTCAGCCAGAGATTGCCCTCAGTTCCTAGAAGCTGCCTTCAGTTCCTTACCATGTGAGCCTCCCAACATAGGCAGCCCACAACAGTAGCTCAATTCTTCAAAGCCAGCAAGGGAGGTACTTCGGCAAGAGGGGTGCCAAAAACTTGTTTAACACAATTACATACACATAATTATGTACAGCCCATTGCCTGTACTGTATTCTATTGATTGGAAGCAAGTCACAGGTCCCATTCATACCCAAGGGGAGAGGAATTACTCAAAGGTGTTATCTCAGGTGCCATCGACAGTTAGGGGGAAAACAATTCCCACAAAACCACCCTTAGGTTTGATGACTCGCAGAACTCACTGAAACCATTATGTTCATAGTTGCAGTTTATACTTGGCAAGCATGCGAATTTAAATCAGCCAAGGAAAGAAGTGCAAGGGCAGAGTTTGAGAACCAAACATGGCACTTTCTGTTGTCTTTTGGTGGAGTCATGGACACGTTATTCTCTTGGCATCAGTGTGCCAGTACACAGAATATTACCAGCCAGGGAAGCTCACGTGGGCTGTGTCTAGAGTTCTTACTGCAGCTAGTGGTTGGCTGTCCATATGCCTAACCTCAGTCTCCCACTCCTCTGGAGAGCAAACAGTTAAGGTCATATCATGACCCAAAGACCCCACCATAAATCACCTTCCTGGCACATTCCAAGAGTTTAGTCATTACCTTTCAGAAGTCAGGGGCAAAAGTGAGACGTTTCTTTGAGTTAGGTTAAATTCTTTACTTCATAGATGTGAACCTCAGGAGCTGGGAGGGGGGCCACAGGACAACGCTGAGGGTCCAACTGTCACAGATATGCAAGAATTGAACTACTCGTTTACAGTGGGAAGTCAGTAGATGGCAAATTTTTAAAACCAAGAAATTGCAATATAAGCAAGTTATTAATGGCTAAAAGATGAAAAGTTTACATCTTGGGAGTAAAAAATGAATGGTGGAAGGGCTCGGACTACTTTTGTTAAAGTAAAATGATTGCCGGGCGCGGTGGCTCAAGCCTGTAATCCCAGCACTTTGGGAGGCCGAGGCGGGTGGATCACGAGGTCAAGAGATCGAGACCATCCTGGTCAGCATGGTGAAACCACGTCTCTACTAAAAATACAAAAAAAATTAGCTGGGCATGGTGGCGCATGCCTGTAATCCCAGCTACTCAGGAGGCTGAGGCAGGAGAATTGCCTGAACCCAGGAGGCGGAGGTTGCGGTGAGCCGAGATCGCGCCATTGCACTCCAGCCTGGGTAACAAGAGCAAAACTCCGTCTCAAAAAAAAAATAAAAAGTAAAATGATTTTATTTAGTTCTTTGGAAATATGAATAAAATAGTTGGCAAAAACCAAAACAGAATAAAACCAAAAAAATGACATGTTATATGACTGATCATGCCCAAGTACAACAGCATTTATTAGTGGAATATAAAAAATAAATTTTATTTGTATGTGCTTCTTTTCCCCAGCTTTGACTACCTGGATGCTTTTGGAAGTTTGAGTTCCCAAGAAATTCCACAGCTATAGAGGCTCCTACAATGTCACGGAGTGAGGTTAAGGTTCTACTCTTCTAGGGAAGATTTTATCCTTGGGGATTCTGGACAACTAGATAGACCCCTAGGAACTTAAAAAACAGCCGCTTTTATTAGGATTCGTTTAACATGGGGAAAATACAGCCATTGTCCATTAAAACACAATCCAATTTGGATATAGGCCTTCAGGTTTAGTAAGTTCTCTACATGAATACTAAGACTGGGCAACCATCTTTTCTGGCAACATACAACCTTTTAAAAAGCTTTTTATAGTCTAAGACTTCTGGCAGGGAAATAGAAATAAAAAATAAAAACACACTTGTAATCCCAACAGTTGGGGAGGCCAAGGCAGGTGGATCACTTGAGGTCAGGAGTTCAAGACCAGCCAGACCCACATGGTGAAACCCCGTTTCTCCAAAAAATACAAAAATTAGCCGGGTATGGTGGTGCACACCTGTGGTCCCAGCTACTTGGGAGGCCAAGACAGGAGAATCGCTTGAACCCAGGGAGTGGAGGTTGCAGTGAGCTGAGATTATGCCACTGCACTCCAGCCTGGGCAACAAGAATGAAACTCTGTCTCCAAAAAAAAAAAAAATGTTCATGGAAATGCCATTTGATTTTCCAGGGGTTTTAGCATGAAACTATAGGGTACAAAGGAAAGATAAACTGGTGTTGCATATTTTGACCTCATGAAATAATTTACTGTTTCATTTCAAAGTGGGTAAAAGATAATTTACGAAAAGTATACCCCAATAAAATACTATTCAGCAAACACAAAATTAAAATGTTATACAGAAAGACAAATTATCAAGTTGTCTTTTTATCGCAGAAATGAACATTTGTTGTTAACTATTTTTTTCAGGTTCTGATCCTTTCTTTGAAAACATCTTTTTTCTCTGCCATGACAAATCTGAACATTAAAGTCTGAAAGAGTGACCTTACGACATACAGCAAAATTATAGGAGATAGTTTAAAAGATTAAAAGAAAAACATGCTAATGCTACATTCCTTAATAAAAAATCCAAGAAACAACTTCCAAGTTTAATACTTCTACTTTTATTAAAGTATAAAACACCTAATTCTACATTTTCAAACACTATTATTCTAAGAATCACTCGAATCACTGCAGTCTGTTCACATTGCCAGCACGTCCAATACTTCCGTCTTATTAGATTTCTAAAAAATCTTGAATTCTGAAAAACAGATAAAAAATGTAAATTACTGACCCTAATATTGTTTTTAAAAAGCTTAATTGTGCCAGGCATGGTGCATTACGCCTGTAATCCCAGCACTTTGGGAGGCCAAGGTGGGCGGATCACCTGAGGTTGGGAGTTTCAGACCAGCCTGACCAACATGGAGAAACCCTGTCTCTACCTAAAATACAAAAAGTTAGCCAGGTGTGATGTCACATGCCTGTAATCCTAGCTTCTTGGGAGGCTGAGGCAGGAGAATTGCTTGAACTCGGGAGGCAGAGGTTTCGCTGAGCCAAGATAGCACCATTGCACTCCAGCCTGGGCAACAAGAGGGAAACTCCGTCTCAAAAAAAAAAAAAAAAAGCTTAATTGTGATGAAATAGACATACCCAAATTTACCACAACCAGTTTTAAAGTGTGCGCTCTGTAGTGGAGACAGCATTTCTGTTTTCCAGGCTGGAGTGCAGTGGCACAATCTTAGCTCACTGCAACCTCTGCCTCCCAGAATCAAGTGATTCTCCTGCCTCAGCCTCCCATGTAGCTGGGATTACAGATGTGAGCCACCATGCCAGGCCAATTTTTTTATTTTTAGTAGAGACGGGGTTTCAACCATGTTGGCCAGGATGGTCTCGAACTCCTGACCTCAAGTGATCCGCCTACCTTAGCCTCTCAGTGCTGGGATTACAGGTGTGAGCCACTGTGTATGGCCTCCCAAACTTTCATACCATGAAAAACTCTGTACCCACCAAGCAATTCCCCTACCCACTTCCCAAGCCCTTGGTAACCACCATTCTACTTTCTGGCACTGTGAATTTTACTATCCTAAGCACCTCCTACAAGTGGGACATATAGAATGTCCTTGTAATTGGCTTATTTCTCTAACCATAATATCCTCAAGGTTCATCTATGACAGAATTTTCTTCCTTTTTAAGGCTGAATGATATTCCATTGAATGATCTACTCATTCACTAATGGATGCTTGGGTTGTACACCCTTGACTATTATGAATAGTGCTGCTATAAACATGAGTACAAAAAGACCTGGTTTCATTCATTTCAATGTATACCCAGAAGGACTAATAATTATGAGTAATATCTAGTTTTACATAATAAATACAACATTACGATATAATGCTCATTGTAATAAACATTATTCACAGAGCCTTGTTTAAGAAACCAGGCATTTTAAGGTCCGTGTGTTACTGAACTTTTACCTCTACCACACTAGTACAGAAGACATTAATGAAACTTCTTGGGCCTTCCTTGAGGTCTTTCCATTTTTCTTTCCGTTTCTCTTTTCTGTTGACGCGCCTTGAACCTCTCAGCCATTGATAAAAGGTCATCAGGAATAGTCTGAAATTATTGAACGTGTTTAGTATTCTGCGTTTTCTCCAATGCTAAATAAAATGCCTCCAAATCATTTCAGATAATCGCACAGCAGGTTACATGAAACAGGTATCTTGATTAAACCCTACATCCATCTGCAGGCTATAAAATTTGCTGCTTCAGCTGCTTCCAAGTGCCCTTTTATGTGCCTTTATATGGTAGTGTTTTCTACATATTCTTTCTTACCTCTGGGCCTGAATATGTTTCGCCTGCTCGTTTACCCCATCATCTACAACTCTCCCCACCTCCACTCTACTGATTTCTTCCTCAGTGGGGCTTTTATCGCTCACCCCTATGAGGTTAAGTTTCTCAGTCATATACTCCCATAGTTTCTTATCATTGCCATGCTGAAGCCCCCAAAACATGCTGAAAAACTTTGATAAATAGCAAGCCATAGTACCTGGCATAACTGACTGAGAAACTTATAAGAGGTAGATTTGTAATGAATTGCACACAGTCTCACCTGATTTGCTCTTTGCAGAATATTAACCAATTCGGGGGCGAACCGCCAATCATTTCTAGTCATAGTTGTAATGGAAACACCAGTCCTCCTTTAGTGTGGGGAAAAAAACTCATGTCATCTCATTTATAATATGCATTCATGATTCAGTTAATCCAGAATATGACAAAATGAAAACTTTTTCACAGAAGCAAGAATGTATTAAAATTTAGGGTCAAACAAATTTGGAATCTGAATCTGCTGTAGTTTAAACAGCATAGGGGGTGTGTGATGGTAGCTCTCTTAAGAGGAAAAAGGTCTTCTCATATCCATGCCAATTTGTCAATGACCTTCACAGTAACCACTGGGTACTAGTGGTGACACTAGATATAAAACAAATAGAACCAGATGTATGAAGCTAATCATGGACAGAATCTCATTGAGTCTGGAACAAGCCAAATGAACAGGGATAAATAAAGTAGCCAAGCAGAATCTAGGAAGTAGCTGAAAATTCTAGGCAATAGAAGAAAATGTTTTTCTGAGCAGGAAGTTTGTGAGGGGAGTATTGAGAATCCAGAATTAGCCTTTCATGAGTGGACTAAGCTTACTTACCCTGCTCTTCCCGTGCGCCCTATTCGGTGTACATATTCTTCAATGTTCCGTGGAAAGTCAAAATTATAGACATGTGTAATATCGTGGACATCAAGCCCTCTAGAGGCTAGATCAGTTGCAATTAGTATTCTCACTTTGCCTAAAAAGTAAAGCCAAATGAACATTGAACCATTCTGGTATAAACCAACCCAAAATCTAAAATGTACTTGCCCTAATTTAATCAGTTTTATTTCTTACTGGTCACACTAAAATGCTTACTTAGTTAAAATGCATTTTTCTTTAACTGCCGGCAAGTTACAAGATACCATCGTTCAGCAAATGGTTCCTAAACCCTTCAAACCATGACAGAAAGGTACATTTTTCAGGTAACTTCAGATATATTTCCTGTTGTATATTAATACCTTGATATCCAGGTTTAAAGTCTTTTGTGTTTAGTTACTGTTTAGAGGCAGATTAATGTTTACAACTCTAATGAGTGCAGTTTTAGGATACAGAAGGTGAGGACAGATCTTAGAAATAAATGGCTTTCATGAAAAGATGTCACTCAGCCAAGCCCAAGTATTGCACTTATTTTAAACTGTATGAAATTACATAACATACCTGTTTTAAAGTTCTCTAATGCTTTTTCCCGGTCTCTCTGTTCTCTATCTCCATGCAGAGACTCTACTGACATATTTCCAAGTATTAGCTCACTTGATAAGTGATCCGCACTGAAGCAAATGATAAAGACAGCATACTTAGGTGCTTATTCTAATACCACCAGTTTTACTTCTATTAGAAAAAATCTGAAGTAATATAACAGACATATCATCCCCATTTGAAATTAGTAGATAAATAGAAATGATCCTAGACAAATCAACTTAATTACAATAGACAACCAAGAAAAAATACTTACAGAGCTTTTCGAGAAACGAAGACTACGACTTTGTCTGTGGATGTCATAGTCTGTAGAAAAGTTTGTATGTGAATCCATTTCTCTTCCTCGGTGGTTACAATTATATTTTGTTTCACTGAACTTACAGCCTAAAGGATTCAAAGAACACAATTCATCAGGTTCATGAAGATTTAAGAGGAGACCACATACATCAGCTCAAAAGATCTTCTCTCGTTGGTTGTTTTTAATAAACTGCTAAGCAAAATGGCCGACGTCCTAAAAATAATTTGTTTCTACTCAAGATTTATATCTGAGCCTTCACTTAGCGTCAAAATACTATTAGTACCATTCCTTCAAACTATTTGTCTCTAATCATTTAATTTTATTTTCAGACCAGTCTCACTTTCGCCTAGGCTGGAGTGCAATGGCCGGATGTCTCTAATCATTTTATAAAACAAACTGTTAACTGGATCACCGTTTGTAAATCCTAATGAAATAAGGGGTCTAAGCAATGACCCGTTATTATTTATGATTAAGTGAAAGGCCAATTTTATCTATTAATGATTAAGCAAAAAGCCAGAGAGAGAACTTCATATATAATAAAGGGGTCCCACAATGACAACACATGAACCCAATATTCAATCCCAAATTCATAAAGTGAACAGACTTACATTTATGTATATGTGTATACTTATATTTAGACCCTGATTCTAACAGGGTTAAAATGAGGCATCAGAAAAATATAAACCCTGACTTCACTGGGTGCAGTGGCTCATGCCTATAATCCCAGCACTTTGGGGGGCTGGAGTGGGTGATCACCTGAGGTCAGGAGTTTGAGACCAGCCTGGCCAACAGGGCAAAACCCTGTCTCTGCTAAAATACAAAACTTAGCTGGGCATGGTGGCCACACATGTAATCCTAGCTACTCAGGAGGCTGAGGCAGGAGAATCACTTGAACCCAGGAGGCAGAAGTTGCAGTGAGTCAAGATCGCCCCACTGCACTCAGGCCTGGGCAAAAGAGTGAGACTCTGTCTTACAAAAAAGGCCCTGACTAGAGGTTGACGGTATTAGCTGATTTTCAAATGAGATAATGGTATTATTGCTCTATTAAACTTATATGCATTTGTGATTTGCCCTAAAATTGGAGAGTGGGCAGACTAGGCACACCAAAATTAGCTATCTTCAGAATTTTCGTAAGAAATGTTAAACAGGGCCACGCGTGGTGGCTCACACCTGTAATCCAAGCACTTTGGAGGCCAAGGCGGGTGGATCACCTGAGGTCGGGAGTTCAAGACTAGCCTGACCAACATGGTGAAACGGGTCTTTAAATAAAAAAATAAAATAAAAAGATATGTTAAACAATAGCAGTAAAAAACAAACTTACAACAAGATCCAATGTACCAACATAGACAAGCATTGGCTCTTTCAAATAAGATTGTGCGAGGCGATGAACAGAACGTGGCCATGTAGCACTGGGAATACAAGATACAAGCGTTACAATTTTGTTGTAAAAACATTACTGTTTTCTTAAGCATGCTATGAACCAAGTTACTCATGAAAGACAAATTTAGTAGTTCTTATTTTTTCAGTAAGGTAGATTTAACAGTTAATTCACTAATTATTCAACTATTATAAAGCTATTAGAATAATAGCTTTCATCAATAGGTTTGTGGCCAAGCCCAGTGGCTCAGGCCAGCAATCCCAGCACTTTGGAAGGCTGAGGTGGGCAGATCACCTGAGGTCAAGAGAGACTACCCTGGCCAACATGGTGAAAACCTGCCTCTACTAAAATTAGCTGGGTGTGTTGGTGGGTACTTGTAATCCCAGCTACTTGGGAGGCTGAGGCAGGAGAATCACTTGAACTTGGGAGGTGGAGGTTGCAGTGAGTTGAGATCCTGCCATCACACTCCAGCCTGGGTGACAGCAAATCTCCATGTCAAAAAATATACAAATAAATGAAAGAAAGAGAAAAGGTACTAAAGGGATTAGTATTAGGTTAATTTTATCTCTTGGTGTTTATAAACGACCAAAAAAACCCAATATTTCAATGTCATTAGGCAATACCAAGTACCTAAGCCAAGTAAAAATATTTTAAAAATAAGGTTGTTGGCCCACACCTGTAATCCCAGTACTTTGGGAGGCCAAGGTGGGTGGATCACTTGAACTCAGAAGTTCAAGAGCAGCCTGGGCAACATGGTGAAGCCCTGTCTCTACTAAAAATAAAAAAAAAAAATTAGAGCTGGGAGCGGTGGCTCACCCCTGTAATCCCAGCACTTTGGGAGGCTGAGGTGGGTGGATCATCTGAGGTCAGGAGTTCAAGACCAGCCTGGCCATCATGGTGAAACCCCATCTTTAAAAAATAAAAAATAATTTTTAAAATTAGCTGGGTATAGTGGCATGCACCTGTAGTTCCAGCTACTCTGGAGGCTAAGGTGAGAGGATTGCTTGAGCTGGGAAGGTTGAGATTGAAGTAAGCCAAGGTGATGCCACTGCACTCCATCCTGGCTCAAAACACAATACAAGAAAAACTTTCAAAATACACTGATCAAAGAGTATCTACATTTAAATGTTTCCTCAACTATAAAATAATGGAAGTGACCACTTTGTATGCCTTCACAGTAATTTCAATAAAATCTATGTTCTCTTTTCCTGGGCTGGACCTCGTGGCTCAAGCTTGTAATCCCAGCACTTTGGGAGGCTGAGGAACGTGGATCACTTGAGGCCAGGAGTTCCAGACCAGCCTGGCCAACATGGGGAAACCCTATTGGTAAAATACAAAAAAAATTAGCCAGGCATGGTGGCATTTGAGTATAGTCCAAGCTACTCAGGAGGCTGAGACAGGAAAATCACTTGAACCCAGGAGGCAGAGGTTGCAGTCAGCCAAGATTGCACCACTGCACTCCAGCCTGGGCGTAAGCAAGACTTTGTCTCAAAATAAATGAATAAATTCACTTTTCTTGAAATATGAAGGTTATTTGTGATAAAACTATGAGGAGATTTAGTATTTCTTCAAGTTTATGTTATTTACGCTAATAAAGACAAATGATATAAGCTCAGGAGATACCCTTTTTTTTGAGACAGATTTTCACTCTTGTTGCTGGAGTGCAGGTGGCATGATCTCTGCTCACTGTATCCTCCTATCCTCCGCCTACTGGGTTCAAGTGATTATCCTTCCTCAGTCTTCCGAGTAGCCAGGACAACAGGGTGTGCCACTATGCCTGGCTAATTTTTCTATTTTTAGTATAGGTTAAGTTTCGCCATGTTAGCCAGGCTGGCCTCAAACTCCTGACATCAAGTGATCTGTCTGCCTCGGCCTCCCGAAGTGCTGGGATTACACATGTGAGCCACTGTGTGCAGCAAATTTTGTTATTTTTACTAATAAAGACAAGCTATAAGCCCAGGAGATATTCTTTATAGAACAATCTATATTCAATGATTGCTTCCTATTTTACTGTGAGCAGTAAGTATTCAGTAATCAAATGTTTATCTCCTTAGAGAAGTGAACCCTTTATTCAAAAGTGAGACCTTACTTTTGTAGTAAATGTTTGTGTGGAAATCCCTATCTGTAATTTAGGAAACTTAATAGTCATGAATAAGCAGTTATTGTTACCCTGTTCTACTTCCGACGTCATGAGATCTTTCACCTCAAGATTTCAACACTTCCAAGTAATGCTCAAATATTGTGGGAAAATCCAAACAGAATGAGATTCTGTTCCACTGATTTCTATTTCGCACATAGTAATTAGGCATATACCTACCTGGTCATAACTGTCTGCCTATCTGGGCGCACATCTAACAAAATCTTCATTATCTGGGGTTCAAATCCCATGTCTAGCATCTTATCTGCTTCATCCAAAACCTGCATTGAAAAAAGAATGTGACTGGATTACAAGTGGGAGGCAGGTAATAACACATATGCTTTCTTTACTAGTAGAACACTAAGAAAGGCTTTTCTCATTTTCCCTATTACTTAAGCCAAGATTTTAATTTCTCCAGGTCAGAATACTAAGCAATTTGTCATTGTACATGGTCTAAATTGATTATTGTTGGCTTTCCAATACCTTCCAAATCTCCTTAAACTTTTAAGTGTCTAATATGCAAGTAGATTTTAATTATTGTGTACTTATCTCAATTTTCCAAAATTTAAAATAAACATACATGATAATTTCAAATGGGATTCTTAATTCTTTCAATATGCTAAAGAGAATGGGAAATATTCCTAGATCCATTAGAAAATTGACAGCCATAGCTCAGTGCGGTGGCTCATGCCTGTTATTCCAGCACTTTGTGAGGCCTGGCGGATCACCTGATCAGGAGTTGTTTAAGACTGGCCTGCCAACACTGTGACCTTGTCTCTACTACAAAATTTGCTGAGCATGGTGGCAAGCGCCTGTAGTCCCAGCTATTTGGGAGGCTGAGACAGGAGAATCACTTGAATCTACAAGGCAGAAGTTGCAGTGAGCCGAGATCTCACCACTGCACTACAGCCTGGGCAACAAGAGGGAAGCTGTCTCAAAAAATAATAAAATCAACAGCTGTTCTAAAAGAAACTGATATCCAAACACTTGGGAGTTAAAACTATTAAAAGTACAAGGGAAAGGAGGAGAAAAAAATATATAGTTCAGTTTTTTGTTGTTGTTGGAGATGGAGTTTAGTTCTTTATTTTTTTAATATATCTTTTTATGAGTTTAGCTCTCATTGCCCAGGCTACAGTACAATGGCATGATCTTGGCTCACTGCAATCCCCACCTTCCCAGTTTAAGTGATTCTCCTGTCGCAGCCTCCTGAGTAGCTGGGAGTAGCTGGGATTACAGGCGCATGCCACTATGCTCGACTAATTTTTGTATTCAGTAGAAACAGGGTTTCATCATATTGGTCAGGCTGGTCTGGAACTCAACCTCAGGTGATCTTCCCACCTTGGCCTCCCAATGTTCTGGGATTACAGGCCTGAGCCACTGCGCCTGGCCAGTTCAGTTATTTTTTGAACCCAGTACCCCAAACCCCTTTTCCATGATTACCAAGTAGGTTATATTCTTCAGATTGACAAAGTTATTCATTTGAAGATCATTCAATCTTCCGGGAGTTGCAATTATGATATCTACGCCTTTTCTAAGCTCTTCTATTTGTTCATCTCTGTTTCCACCACCATATACACAAACACTTAAAAAGAAAAAATCCAAAGGTCAATGTTCAGGCACAGAATATCACATCACAACTTAAAATCCAATAAAAGGGATGAAAATAAATTATCAGGTACCTTTAAAGGTATCTACCCCTTTCTGAGGATTATGTATACCCATCAATCCATAATGCTGTATCTTAAAGACCAATAATTATACTATCACCCAACCCAGGCTCTTGACTGATTAGATTAGTGCTAAATGCATGACCCATACAGCCATTTAGATTCTCTGAAAGTGTGAAAAAGATATATAGAGCTACAAATGATTAAAATATGATACTAGTGAAGGAATGGCAAGAATTAATTACCTACCTCCGAAGTCCTTTATATGAATATTTGCAACATTCTCCTTCAACTTGAAGTGCTAACTCCCTAGTGGGAGTTAGAACTAACATGCCAGGTCTATTCCTTTTACCTTTAAAGCTTTGGAGAGAAAACATTAATATTAATAATTAATATTGTTACATTCATTCCGTGCCATCGAGATTTGTAGCAACCAGCCTGGTGAGGTGGCTTTTGCCTATAACCCCAGCACTTTGGGAGGCTGAGGTGGACAGACTACCTGAGGTCAGGAGTTTGAGACTAGCCTGGCCAACATGGTGAAACTCTGTATCTACTAAAAATACAAAAAATTATACATGATGGCTGGCACCTGTAATCTCAACTACTCAGGAGGCTGAGGTAGAAGAATCACTTGAGCCCAGGAAGCAGAGCCTGGGTGACAAGAGTGAAACTCTGCCTCAAAAGAAAAAAAAAAGATTTATAGTAAGGAGTATCAGACATAGAGTATGCCTTTTTGTGAGAAGGTATATGATTAATAGTTGTCTCTGTATTTTACAGACTTTGCTAATTATAATCTACGTACCTAAAAAATGGGTGGTATTATATAGAATATGCCAAATTTCCATAAGAGAATGTATTGTTTTCTCAGATTTAACATTGCTTTACTGAGACACTAGTGTCTGTTTCTATATACTTTTTCTTTTTCTTTTTTTTTTTTT